TTATTTTTTCTTGTTGCCTATGACCCTCTGAATTATTGCTATTTTTCTAACTTCCAGTGTGTCTGTAGCTCTTCATTGAATAAAGACGTATAGAAGTTTTGTCCGTCTTCGTTTACATCCTTGCTGGCTCAGTTTATTCAACTTCACCAACAAAAATTACAAACAATAGGTTATGGATTCAGGAACAGAAATGTCTTCCCAGTAACCCAGGACAGTAATGTCTTTATAGTTTTTGTTCGGTTTGATACTGGATTTATATGAGATTTGGTAGGATACAAAAGACAACGTGTGAGATGGAAAATTTTCATGGAGATATCTTCACAAAAGAAGGGTTCATCAACTTCCAAAAACTGGATGATTCATCCAATTTATCATCATGGCAATTTGATGTGAAAATGCTATTGATGAAGGAAGATCTGTGGGCAGTGATTGAGACGCCGGTAACAGATCGAGATCCTATGGCAAAGGAAAAAAGTTGTGATCGAAGGACGTTAGGAACAATAGCCCTGACAGTTGGGGACCATGTTAAAGTTGATATCCAACATTGTACAAGTGCGAAGGAAGCATGGGATACAATAGCAAATCTGTATGAAGATAAGAGTATTCTGAAAAGGCTGCAGATAAAAAGGGATCTTTACTCTATGGAATTTAACATGTGCTCAGGTATGGGCCCTTATATTAACAAAATACAAACCCTCATTGACCAGTTGAGGAAAATTGGTTGTATAATTGATGATCAGGAGCATGCTGAATTATTATTGATGCGTTTACCGGAAGGAATATGATAGTTTAGTGACCAATTTAGCGATTGCTGCAGACACAAAATTAACCTCAGTTGCAGATAAAGCTAAACTGCTGCAACAGGCTGCCAGAAAAAATTAATGGAGTAGTACTAATGAGCCAAAAGTGTTTAGTGCAACAAGAAACTGTTTCAATAGAAAAGTATAAACCAAAAACATGACGATACAAGAGTCTTTAATGGAAAATGCTTCAAGTGCAAAAAGTATGAACATAAAGCATCGCAATGTCACAGTGAAACAAATCCAAACCAGAAAAATCAGATAGTGCTATGTTCAGTTATAAACAAGTGTTGACACACATAACTCTGATTGGATAATAGACAGTGGTAGCACTCATCATTTAAGTTATGCTTGTGAGCTTTTCGTAAAGTTTAGACCTGCTAATCACGTGATATTTGTGGCAAACAATTCAAGTTTGAGAGTCGCAGGTGAAGGCGATATATCCTTGCACTTAAATGTGTAAGGTGTACCCTTCAATTGTATACTAAAACATGTTTGATATGTGCCCGAAGCAACCATCAATCTGTTATCAGTAAGCCAGCTTACCAAGAGAGGCTTGAGTACTCACTTTTATGGAAATAAATGTGTCATCAGAAAGGGTGAACTTGTGTGTGCCACAGCATAGAAAATAAACCAGTTATATGTACTGGATACATATAAAAACATTGTTAATATAGCTAGTCCTCAAAATAAATATTGGTTATGGCACAAACGAATGGGACATCCAAGTGAAGCTACCATGAAACATGTATTAAAGGAGAAACCAAACAGTGTCGACTACAAAACAGTACCAAATGAAGTTTGTGATGTGTGTACCAAAGGCAAAAGTCAACGCCAGCCATTTGGCCAAAGAAAAAATCATGAAACAAAAGGTTTATTAGAGCTAGTCCATAGTGACATATGTGGCCCTATGGGAGTGACATCACTTGGAGGTGTGAAATATTTGCTAACTTTCATTCACGATTATTCCGGATGGATCCATGTATATCTCCTAAAATCCAAAAGTGAGGTACTTAATTGTTTTATAAACCAGGGCTGTGGAGTCGTGTAAAAATCTACCGACTCCGACTCCGACTTTTCCTTACCATCCGACTCCGACTCCGGCTAAAACACCAAAACTCCATGACTCCGACTCCACAGCCCTGTTATAAACTATAAAAGATTGGTAGAAAAGCAAACAGGTAAACAAATAAAAAACTTGTAAACTGATAATGGTGGTGAATATGTGAATAGTCAATTTAAAAGCTTTTTAAGTAAAAATGGAATAATTCACCAAGTTACTTCTCCGTACTCACCACAACAGAACAGAAAATCCGAGCAGATGAATAGAACTTTATTAGAAAAGGCCCATTGTATGTTACTTGAAGCTAATATTCCACCGGAGTACTGGGGAGAAAGTATATTAACAGCAGCTTACATCATGAATCAAATTCCACAAAAGAATGGAAATATTCCATATGAGAAATGGTTTAACCAAAAAGTGAGTTTAAGACATCTTAGAGTATTCAGATGCACAGCTTATGTACACATCCATAAGGTGCAACAAAAGCATAAGTTACAAGCACAAGCACGAAAATGCATCTTTCTTGGTTATTTGCCCACCATGAAAGCTTACAGACTGTATGATCCGAGCAACAAGTCCATTGTGGTATCAAGAGAAGTGAAATTTGATGAAATGTCAAGAAGATATACATATATACATCTGACAAGAAATAGAAACTGTTCACATATTCCCCATCTCCAGTTCAGATGACAAGACAAAGTTCAATGAAGATGAACACCAGAGGTCAGAGGAGGCTGATTCCAAATGTGAGGACTCAGATGATGCATCTGAAGAGCACGAGCAAAATCAAGAGCAGAGCCATTCATCTGTCTCGACAACAAGTGCTCGATTAAGGAGAAATGTTGGATCACCACAAAGATACAGAAATCCAATTGTCTATGCATTAGGTCAAGTGCCTTTTCCATATATGCAGGCAATTAAGAATCCAAATTCTAAAGATTAGATTAATGCAATGAAAACTGAGTTAAAGGCGATTGAATGGCAAAAGGCAAAAGGTATGGACATTATGTGAATTGCCTAGTGATAAGAGAGTGATAAAAACTAAATGGGTTTTTACAAGGAAGGAATTAGAAGGGAAAAGTAAATTCAAAGCTAGGTTAGTAGCTAAAGGCTGCAATCAGGTTAGTGGAGTAGATTTTGGGGAAACATATGCATCGACCACTAGGAGCACAACTATTAGGATGCTATTTACATCAGCTGCAATGAAAAACTTAGAACTTAGGCAGTTTGATTTCAAGACAGTTTTTCTTAATGGAGAGCTGCATGACGAAATCTATGTAACTGAACCAGAAGGTTTCAGCATAGAAGGGAAAGAAAACTAGGTTTATAAATTGCATGAAGCATTGTACGGATTAAAACAATCAGGGCGTGTGTGGCAACAAACACTAAAAGAAAAAGTAATGCAGATAAAGTTGAAGAGATCAAGCTCTGATGACTGTTTATATTATAGGGCTGAAGGTACGAAAATTTTATTACTGCTGATTCATGTAGATGACATTATAATAGCTCATAATAATGATAAATGGGTAGATGAAATTAAGCAGAGATTGACAGAATCGTTCAAACTAAAAGACTTGGGTTCTCCAAAGTCCTTCTTAGGGATAGAAATTAGAAAGGATAACAACACTGGCACAATTACACTAAGCCAGGAAAAATACATTTATGAAATTTTAGAATGTTTTTTTATGGATAAATGTAATGCACTTTCAACTCCATGCGATTCTGGCTTAAAACTTAAGAAACCTGAGGTGATAGATTCTGAGTTGATGTCAAGAATACCCTATCAGCAGGCAATCAGCTGTTTAATGTATGCTGCGGTGATGGCCCGACCTGATATCGCACATATTGTTTCACATCTGAGCAAGTATAACAATGCGTTTGATAGAACTGACTGGGAGGCAGTAAAGAGAGTATTTAAATATTTAAAAGGAACTGCAGATGTAATGCTTAGTTATCAAAGAAACGGAGAAATAGATATTGTGGGCTTTTGCGATGCTGATTATGCTAGCGATAATGACAGAAAATCATATTCTGGTTACTGTTTTAAAATAGGAAATAACCTTGTGAGCAGGTCAAGCTGTAAACAAACCACTGTCAGTCTTTCAATGTGCGAAACAGAATATGTAGCAATTACCGAGGCTAGCAAGGAAGCAATTTGGATTTACTTGCTATTAAGAGAAGTGCTATCAAGCGAACTTAAAACAAAAACAATTTGTATATTTTCAGATAATCAAGCAGCAATATGTTTGGCCAATGGGGAAGGCTCTCACAAAAGGGCAANAAATTTAAAGTTTAAAAGGAATTTTTAAAAATAATTTATATTATCAATTTTTATACTTTTTGATTGGATGTTGGTCTAGTTTTCATAACTGACAATGCATCTGCATGGCAAGCGGGAGTTGCAGGTTCAAATCCTGTTTTGGGCCAATTCTTTTCTTCTGTAGTAGAACCTTCTAAATTAAGTATTAAATGTTAATTTAATTTTATTATATTTATCAAGAGATGGCACCTAACTCCTACCTCTAGGCCAAATTACTTCACATTTAATTAATAAATAGTAGCATTAATATAGCCTAATATAATCTGGCAATTATTTGGTCATTAATTTGGGCATTACATTGTAATGCCTATCATAAATAAGATAAATATACTATATACTCTATATAGTTTTTTCTTATAAACAATTTTAATTGGTGCCTTACCTCCATATATGGTTGTCCATAATTGTATGTGTGGGAAGCAGTTGTCTCCAAGAAACACTTGCAGAAAGCAACATATAACTTCCTAGTACTGGATATTGTGAGTAGACACATTGTATATTGTAGTTCAGTTTTCAATTATATTAAGGTGATCCTCCTTTTGTAAGTTTTGACCTTCCTTGAAAAGTGTCCCTCTATATGTCCTCCTTTTTGATATTTGAAGACTAATCAATAAATCTCTGTATTCAATCGATGCCAAGCCAATACATTGCATGTGTTGTGATGTGATGTGATGTGTTTGTATTTGACATGACGATTCATCAAGACTCGGTACAGTGTGGTGAGATGCGATTATGAGACAAATGCACTCTGCACAGGAGACTGTGAGAGAGAGAGAGCGCGATGCACAAGTTGCTTTGTTTATTTCTTACTGAAACATGGCATGGCACGTATACATGCAGTAGAGATTATTATAGTGTATTGTTGTTGCAATGAATAAAATGTTTCTTTTGTTTACAATATTTTTTCCGTCAATTTATTTGTATCCTTCTTCTCATTGTAAAAAAGTTGGTCACCTTAATTATATAAGCCCACCATTGGCCAAGTGGATAAAATCACTAAACACTAGTCATGAGTTCGTATCTCATCAACAGGCTGGTCATATGGAGTTTTCTGGTTTTTTTCATATTTTTAATACCTAAACAGGGACCAGTTTCCCACAAAAAGTCTTCCTGGGAGGTATCTCATTTATGGCTGGACCCCTTTAATTAAGTTGTATTGCCATATACAAACAACAACATATAATGTTTATTTTGTAAGGGACAAATAGGGCAAGTCTGACTTGGGTTTTGAGACCATCAACATTGTTGAGTGTCTTTCTGTCTTTTCTGAAGTTAGAGTCCAATACTGTATTCATGCAATTTCACTACGTAGTAAAAACTTGGCCGCCTTCAACGTCAGGTGCCTCTTAGACACACAGCAGACAACCATATGTGGGGTTAAAACACCACATTACACACTTATTTTTTGAAGACTTATCTCTTAGTTAATTTATCTTTTAAAAATGATTACTATAAGACTAAATATATATGTATGCTATATTACGACAGTTTTACAAAGAGATGGATTTGGTAAACACCCTTATTTTTGTTGCGTTGTTGCCGAGACTAGTGGACAAAATGAAGAAGAGAAAGGTTATTATACTTCCAGTTACCTAAAATTAATTTATATATGATAAAATTAAATTTTTAAAATCAAAAACATTTAAATTTATTTCAAAACAAGTTTTAAATATTTTATTTGAAATTTATTTACTACTATTATAAAAAAAAGTTACAATTTATTTTTTGTTTCCTAATCCTCCATACAGTTGTGTAGAGATGAGATTTAGTATTACATCCTTGAGTTAGCATTTTTTAATCTAAATTTCTTCATACACAAATCATCAAACTAGCAACATTGAAATGTATAGTAGCATGATATGTCAAAATTCAATAATTTTCTAATATTCTATATGCATCTTTGTATGGAGATGGAGAAATGCATCTTACACACAACTTTGTTCTCTTTTCCCTTGTATTCTAAATTTAATTGTGCCAATCTTCTATTATTTAAAGTTAAAATTATTAATTAAAACTAAAAGTTTATATCTAAGGTAATTTTAATTATCTGTGATTTTTGTTTTACTTTTTTTGAAATCTCATCATCATTTCTAAACTTTTAACAACTTACATCATACTTTTCTGAAAACTGCACTTGTCATAAACCACAGCACTACTACACAAATGTTTAAAAATGCAATATGATATTCAAAATTAGCTTGTCTTAGAGGACATTCCAACTTTTGTTCTTATTTTTAATTGAAATTCGAAATTTCAATTAAATTCAAATTTGAAATTGAAATTTCTTTCATTCTGTCCCGAATAAGGTCATTCAAGACAATCAAAAATGTTTGAAAATAAAAATTATACTGCATTTTTAAATCTTTGAGTAGTAATACTGTAACTTACGTTATTTTTGTAATTCTAATTGTCAATTTAAAAGAAATCGGAATCAAAGAAGTAGTTAATTTAATCTAAATTAATCTCATTTCATCATTTTGAAATGATATCACTTGATATTGTAATGATTTCTAATTGATTTCAAGTGATACCAAATGCATTGTTAAACAGTTTTGTAGAATCAGAAATCTCTAGTTAACAATAAAATGCTTTTCAGGACAGTTTCAGAAGTTAAATAAAAGCATTTAATGATGAAATTTCAATTGCTGCTGATGAATTTTATGATTTTTTTACTGTAATTTGAAAACCTTTTGTAATTTTTGAACTAAATTTGTCTACTATAATTACCTCTTTCTAACCTGTTACCGGTGTGTCTACTAACTCTTAACGATCCAAAACGAACCAAAACTAACGTTTTCGAAACGGTTAAAAACCTGAAGAAGAACCTTAAACGGTTCTTCTTCAGGTTTTTAATTTGAATCTCTGATGGAAAATGCAGCTCGTAAAAACTTTAAATTCGAAATATGTAAGTTCGAATGCATGTTTCCCGTTTCCGTCGTTGTATGTCATGCGCAGTCGACTCCAAACGGGCTATCATAAATTACTATTCATAAACGCTAGCCACGCTGTTGATAACGTAATCTCTTCTTTATAATTGATGCATTGATTATCCTTAAGGTTAGCCAAATATATGCTGGCCGCCTCTAGCCATCTGATATGGTGTACGTGCCGTGCGGTGCGGATAATTCTTGCTTTCTTAAATTCGGGTT